ATATATTATAATTAAAGTTTATATTCAGTCACTGCAATTATTTAAACGTATGGTGTTCCATAATACTTCCAGTTCTATATTCATTATTACGTATGTGTTGCCAGCTGACCATTGTTGCTATTCAACATCCATGTAGCATTCAAAGGTGTACAGAATGTATTGCTTTAAGTCAGGGGTGTCAAACTCGATTTCATTGAAGGCCACATCAGGGTTGTGTTTGATCTCGCGGGGCCACGATGGGCATGGCCAGCTCAACGTCACTCGTGTTGCGGGCACCTGTGGTGGCCTGAGTGCTCTGCCAGTGGAAATGGACTTTCGAGCTCCATTTTTGACTGTGATGGCACCCTGCCAGGGAAAATGGAGCTTGTGAAGGCCTCATGCGGCCCTCATGAGCTCCATTTTCACTGTCACAGGCACTGTGGGCTGGTCCTTTGCTGTTTCCAGGGCCAGGCCCGCAGGCCAGATCTAAGCACCCTGCAGGCCAGATCTGGCCCCCGGGCCTTCAGTTTGACACCCCTGATATAAGTCTACAGGACGTATCTCCCTTTTATTTTCTGAAAACTTAAGAGCAAATTATGCTTCTGCTTGCAAAGCTGGACTATTTTTGCCAATATGTTAGGGTTTAGATTTACAGAAAAGTAATGAGAGAACTACTATTCAAACGAGGCATGATCTAGGGTGACCTCTTGAAAATACTGACAACTATGTCCACTAGATATGATTTTCTCAGGTTGGGTAAATCTGATCATTTTATGGTGATATCTTAGCCTCTCTGGATTTTTCAACCATTTAGAAATCCAACAGACTGAGTAAAAAAAAATATTAACTGCATTGTAAGGCAATAATGAAACCATTGCACAAGTATTTATATAGGTACAGTATACACTTTCAATATTTTACATTTATAAACATTTAAACAATTTGTAAGCATCACTTACCTGGATTTACTCTTGAAACTGATTTAATATTCTGGCATGTTTGAATTATTGAATACCTGCATGAAACAAATTCAGGGTTCAAATGTTATTACTGAAACTTTTCAAGTTTTCCTTTGGAAATGAATTTTTTCCTCCCTGAAGCTACACTAGACAGTTAAACTACTCAATTTAAAATCATCTTCACAGTACAAGTTATTTTATTGGAATAATGGATTATTTAAAATACAGTAATCTTGGAAATAGCAATTTAGGTAATTTTGTATTCTTAAATGTAACCTCCTTGGTTACAGGATTCATTTATTTTGCTTTTCTTTTTAACCTTGTGCTGCCTCTTGGAAGTTTCCTTCAAACTACAGTTGAATAAGAAAGGTAAATATTTATGCTAAGTTGTATTAGCTAGAATATATGGATAAATAGAGTCTAAGCAAAATGGACAGATGCTATTGGCATTTCCCGTGATGTTTACCTCTGTATAGAACAGTAAACCTAAAGGAACTAGTCATTTTCTGGAAATATAGTCGATGGTATATAGGTAGTTCACATTCAGAAGCCATTCAAACTTACAATGATCTTACAATTCCACTGAACAAGGAGACTTAAGAGCAGTCCTTGTAGTTGAAAAAAAATCACAGCATCCCTGTAATCACAACTGCAACTCGGGCATGAGTGTTGAAGCATCCCAGGGTCATGTGGTCATCATTTCTAACCTTCAGTGCCAGCTTCTGACAAGCGGAGTCAAAGGAGAAACTGGCAGGAGGTTGCAAAAGGGGATTACGTGACATTGTATCTTAATGACTGCAAGGGATTCTCTTAACAACAGCAATTGGAAACTATTCAAATTGTCATTGTAAGTCAGAACAGTCGTGTAACATTGCCCTTTATGTATGCTTCAATTAGCAACAGAGCTGCTGCTCTCAATTACTGTTGTTAAGCAAAGACTACCTCTATGCAATCAGTTCAAGTTGCTTAAGAATATTTTCTTTCTTGATTCCAAATTCTGTCATATACTGTATAATTGTGAGAGAGTTGAAAGAATAGTGTCTGTGTGCCCCGTCCTTCAATCATAATCTGGGATCGATAATAGAATGTATGGATGTGAGTGGCATTTGCTTATAAGTGAAGGGAATTGAATAGTTCAGATAAATTGCTAAGTTTCAATAGTTGCGGAAAGTTTTAAACCTTTTAAATGAGCATTTTCTTTACTAGATCCCTCTGATCGAACTAGAGCTGAAGACATTACCTATTGCTGGCTTATTGGGTGGGGCAATATTTTCAAGTTATAATTATTTCCGAGTAATTCTTGGAGGAGGTGTGGGGAAGAATGGTTCTACAATAGCAGTAAGTATTTGTAAGATTTAATTGTTGGGTTAATGCAAATCTTAATATTAATGCTTAAGCAAATAGTTTTTGAGTGCTATTGTGTGTACTCATTTTTAGAAAGCCTTAAATCCAATATTCACTGTGAAATGTACTAATAAAATTTTGGTATAGCTTGAATTTATAGCTTCATATTACAAAGAAGTGGAAAGAAGATAATATAGCAGCTATGAAGTTTCTAGATCAGATTATTTGTTTAGTTCTTAAGTATCTCTGGAATTCTGGCTCACTCTTGCTAAGAGCTTTCAAAGCAGAGGCAATCAAGCAACTTATCAAGCAATTTGATAAGCCCTTTTTCACTTCTACCTGATGCAAAAGCCAAAATCCTTTTTAAAGGCTTTAGTGAACTATTGGGACACACTAGCTTTTACTCTTCCAAACAAAATTCAACTTTCTGAAACCACCACTTGTTCAGCAATTGTTCAAAGTGATAGTAGTGATGAACAAGGAGGACCTACAACCACCCTCAGAGTTTTGGCTGTCACTCTGTCCCTACAGTCATGTGATCATAATTCAAGTGCTTGGTTACTTGGTTCACAATTACATAATCATAGCCAGCCACTCTCACATGTTCTCCATTTGCAGTCTTTCCTGCCAGCTTCCCACAAGCAAATCAATGGGGAAACTAGCAGAAGATTGCAAGTTGCACCTGTATATCACTTCCACTGATTTTTCTCATTGGCACTATAGATTATGAATGGGCCTGCTCTGTAACAACCCCCACCTGCCTATTCTGTGTAGCAGCCCCCCAAAAAACTGGGCTTGGATCCATAACCTACTTGTGGCCCGCACCAGCCCACATTCCTACCTGAATCTCCCACTAGACTGTCTGTATTCAGAAGCACCTGTCCGCAGGCTTTGCTGACCTACTTGCATTGATGTGTCCATCTGTAGTACTCATCCACCCACCTGCAGCTCTTATCTGCCAGGTTCTTGCCTAAGACTTGGGTCATTTGAGGTCTTCTCTTAATGGTACCCAGTCTCTGGGTTATGATAGCAAATAGGATGCAGGCAGTGATGCCTTGATTTAGGAATGCATTGCTTAATTGTGGAAATTCTGATCCCAATTGCCATCATAAGCTTGCCTCCCACATTTCTTAGGAGTTAAACTGTTCTGGGAGATTCTCCAGCTGTTTCTAAAACCATTTGGAAGCTTCAAATGATGAAAAAAGCACCTTGACCAATTCCATCTTCCAGTTTGAAGAGATTATCCATTAAATTCTGGGTGAATTCTAAATTCTGTCCCAAAGGTACTTTTTCAAGAGGCAAATGGACCTTCTGGTTTTTCTTTGAAAACATTTCACTTCTTGGTTGAGAAGCAAAATATCTTCAAAGAAAAACCAGAAAGTCCAGCTGCCTCTTGAAAAAGCACCTTTGGGACAACCATGACTTGGATAACTGGGAATCTCTATAGACAGTCAAAAATCTGGTTTAATATTTAAAGGTCTAAATCACAGAATAGGGCAGATTTCTTCCATATGTTTCTTCCTACATGCAATTTTTTGTAAAAATAGATTTGATTCAAATTCAATAGATCATATTGTTTTGTAGTTTCTTAGAGCTATTATATTTTTGGTATTGCTAATTATTTTGTAATTTATCTATTATATTTTAACATCAAATTATGTTTACTATTATTATTTGAGCTATAGAGAGAAATAACAGAACATACCTTATTTTTAAAAAATACATAAATGTCTTTATGTATTTCAGGGAACAAGTGTTTTATCTCCGGGCCTCCACATTGGTCTAATTATTACTTTGGCAGTTGTGATCTACAAAAAATCACCAACTCAACTGTTTGAAAACCATCCTTGTCTGTATGCCTTAAGTTTTGGATTTGTATGCGCAAAAATTACACAAAAATTAGTGGTAAAACATTCTTGATATTTGCTATACATACAAAATGTTTATCTGATGTAAGCCAAATATTTTAACATATTAAAGAATGCTACAAATCAACGTTAATTTGATATTAATAAAAATGTCAAACTAATACTGTAGTTTGATGCATATTCACCTAGAAATCAGGCCCTTTGAGTTCAGTCGAGTTTATTTCCAAATTAGTGTGATTAGGATTGTAGCTAATGTGGGCAAATTGAACATGTTTCTTAAAAACTACCTAGAATATCTAGAATATGATGATCATATATACATTCATTTTAAAAAGTGGACACTCACTACAAATTATAGTTTATTAAGAGAAACAAACAAAACAACGAATGGTTTCATGGTTTTTGCCGAAGCAAATACCTGCAAAACAATATAGTTTCAGATTTAATTATTAAGGCCACATTTACCAGAAAGTCCACTGGACAGACAGCAAGATGAATTAGAAAGTATGTATTTACTCCATGTAAATCCAGTTTTAATTAACATTGAATTTATATTGTATATTACAATTCCTATTCTGCATCAAGCTTATTAAAGTCTGTATCTGTGATTAAGTGAGGAGAGCCACTACCAGCAGACAAAATCTGTTTAATATTTTTTGTAGTTTTTATTGTTATTAAGAAGTGAATTCTTGCTATTCTTACTGAGTGTACATTTTAGATCAATTTGAATAGTTTTTAATTTTATAGCATTCTAATGTCTCCCTTATGAGTTGATAGTACATTGCAAAAGATTAAATAGGATCTAAAAAGTCTTAATTTATAATCTAATTTCTGTTTATAGGTAGCACACATGACAAAAAGTGAGATCTATCTTCAAGACACAGCATTCATTGGACCAGGCCTCTTATTTCTAAACCAGTACTTCAGTTGTTTTATTGAGGAATATATTGTTTTATGGATTGCACTGGTAAGTAAATGTGTTGTATTTTTATGTATAAGATTACACATAATGATTGGTAATTTGAATTTTGTGTGGATTGTCTAATTTATAAATCAAGAACTGAAAGGTACAAAGACATATATTAGCTTTATTTGTAACAAGGCATCTTGATGAGGAAAAGGCAAAGATGGTTGTGCTCCTTAAATAATGGATAGTGATTCTTCCAGAGAGGCAATAGAGGAAAAGAAAATATAGAATTAATCTACCTTGAAAATGTGAATCCCTTGTCTTAAAATAGCCTCCTCAAAGTTTATAGTCTTATAAAGAAAATAAGTTGCCATTCCTTATCTGTCCAAACTATGCTGGAGTTTATCCAAAGTAATATAAATTTAGACAAAATGACGTCCTGAAGAAGAACTAAGATTATTGGATCATGTCAAAACATTAAATAAAAACAAAATTTAAAAATCTTTAAATGTCTTTTTAAAAGACATCAAAAGACATAAACTAAAAGAATCACATTACTACTGAAAGTGATTGTGAGTTGTCAGTGTAGTCATGAAAGGATGAATGATAGATGTTGATTATGTGCGATACTGGGATAGGAAACCCAATATCTTTACAATATTCCTAGAAACTCTATGCAATGAAGCATAATTATCCAAACATGTAGGAGATAGAGTAAATAAGAATACAATTAACATGCATCCTTTCCAATTGCTCCCCTGAAAACTGGCATACCTAACAGCCTTACTGAAATATAACAAATATTCCCCATTTGAGCAGACCTCAACCATTGTAAATGACAAAAGAATAAAGTGAAGTCTTATTTCTATAGTCATTTCTATAACTCATTGGGGATGGAGTTCCTATCTGATGAGAAATCTGGCACAAATAAAAAGATGCATTGAAAAAGAAGCTTTGACCAGAAACTAGTTGTTTTCCTTGAATAGGTACTGGTGAAAAAAGTTAACATGTATCAGACGCTAGACTCTTAACTTTTTGAACATGAAATTATCCAGCTGCTATGTGAGGAAATGTTTGTAGAAATTCCATCATACCATTAGATGATATGAAAAAACTCATGAAAATGAATTATTTTCCCTAATTTCTCAGTGAAGATAGACAGGCATCTCATATTTTTTCATATAATCTGTGTATTACCATTTTACATTTATACTTATCAACGTGCTTTTCAGCCATAGACCACATTCCTTTTGTCTCCCATTTAAATCTAGCTTGAAGCTGCTTAACTTTAGGGCTTATTTGTTTATTGCAGGCAAGAAAGATCCTAGCAGGCTTTCTTGTCTTCTTTGGGAATACCCTTAAGCTCAGTTTTCCAGACTCTTCTATGGAGAAAAAAGTAAGGGAAAAGGTAGAACATAAAGAGATAGAGAAAAAAGACTTGCACCATATGATGATTTAGGATTTAATGTTAACAACTGTTAGTATGGATTAGTTTCCATTCATAAAATGCATTGTTTCCAAATGTGTAGGTTTTATGGGATTGAAACGTACCAATATATTTACATTTATTAATTCAATGCCAACTCAGAAGGGAAGGCAACCATTGTCTTTTCATTTTCATTCATTCCTCTGTAATTTACTGGATGCAGTTAGACTTCTCTTCCTGGGGGATGGAAAGGAGGGAAAATTAAAGTTCTGGAGAAAGATGTTTTTTCTATAATTGTACAGAACAGTAAAATATTAAAAATAGTGCAATTCTCACTTGATTGGTAACTTTTTTCCAATTGGCTTTATATGAGTTTAAATTATCTGCTATACCCAATAGTAGGATAAAAGGAAGAATTCTGTTGTATGCAATAGCTGCTGTAATATTAACTTGTAAGCTTTCCCCACTTTCTTCATCTTTAGTTCATCTCGTTGTTTGATTTGCTGAGATACTTTACTGGAATATGCATACAGATTGCTGCTCACCTTCACATACAAGTCTTCAAGATCTCACCTCCTCAAGCTCTTGAACAGGTTCAGAATCATAATGAGTGACTTATAATTAAATGTGAAGAGAAGTAGGGAGAAATCTTGATTTATGGAAAATATTGTTTTTAAAGAAACCTGAAGGCTAAGAAAACCAAATATATGAAGGAGTTCATAATATGAAGGAGTTCATAAAATTTCAAATTATACTAAGACATATAGTTATCTTGATCAGAATCATAGAAACTTTTGTTAAAAAATCTGTGTACTTTCTGTTTGTATACACTTATGGTTGAAAGTCTAATGAAGGTAATCACTAGCATGGTCTATTCCATTAATGTATTTGACTTTTTAGGAGAGTAAATTTACCATTAGTATATAGTACAAAAATTACATAATAGCTCATTGAACATTTTGTCATGTCTCAAGCTTTCAAGAAATTGGCTAAAAATGTAACCAATGTAGTTAAAGAAATCAGTAATTAAAAGGATATTGTATTATTTTCAGGCTGGCCAAAATATAGTTTGTAGTTTTACTTTCAATTAAAGTTTGTGGTAGACAGAAACATTTAAACATTTTCCTCCCCTGGCATCTGACACTTACCCCTGAGTGATAGTGCTCAGCTTACAATGGCAATTGGAACCTGAATTCCCATTAAACAATAGTCATAAAGCACAACATTGTCACTTAGCAACAGAAGTCCCTGGCATTACTAAATTGCATTGGCTTCAATTTTTGACCAGTTTCTTAATAGACTTTACTTCTGGGGAGATGGCAGGGAACATCAAAAAACATTATCATATAATCAAAGATGCTGCAATGGACAGAAATATAAGGAGCAATCTTAAGTACCATTTGTTCAGTGCCATTGCAACTTTGAATGATTGCTGAATGAATGGTCATAACCCGAGGATTACCTCTATTTGCTTTTCATTGAATGAAAATATGGGATTAGATGCCTAGTTTGCTATTTGCAAATTGTAACTTCCCAGACAGCTGTTTATAAAAAAAGAAAATTTGCTAGTGGTGTGGGAAGAGTAACAACTGCAACGAGTCCTGCATATTAGAATGAAACCCATCTTTTTTTAAATGTGAAGCTTTTTTGAGCATAAAATAATCTGGTCCATTACATTTAAAACAACAAAAAATCTATTTTCATTTACACAAATGTGTTACAAATACATTGGGATTATATACCTGCATTTTTAATATTATACATTAACATTTTTAAATATTATTTTGCATAGCCAGCAATACATGTTCTTCCTTTTGAACGTTTAAGTCTCTAGAAAAACTTACAACTAGTTCTTTTCCTTGTGTTGTTAAATGATAGTTTATTTTTCATGCAACCCTGAGGTTTGTTAATTTATTAATTTATCTTTCAAAAATTATTCTTAGGTTATGGAAAACAAATATAATGTAGAAGCCATCTAAGCACATTTAACAGAAATTATGCTTGATTTCAGAAAATGTGTTTCATCTTAGTTTTGATACTATAATAAAAACAGTTGTAGGGTTTCTACTGAACACTTTCATAAGAGAATCAATCCCAAGCGGCCACTTCCCTACATATGAAGTAAAAACATTCCAATCTGCATCACTAATTATTATATCTCTCTAGAAATTAGAAAACCCAACAGAATTATAAGAATAATCTATTACCTTGACTTTTAAATGAAGCTTAAATAAAAAGTTTCATAAGCTATTATATAAAAATTACATTTGCAGATTCAGTTGAAAAATTGCCATTATGCAACCATGGTGAATTCTATATAGAAAACCAGTACTTAATGCAATGGCATCATGATAATTAGTAAGTGCCAAACCTTGATATTTAAATATAATCAAACATTTCAAGCAAATTTTGGAGAAAAATGAAAGCAATATAATTGATATTTTAAAAAAAAGATCAGATGTAAGTCAAACACAATTCTAAATTGCTTTAACCATTCCATAACTGTGTAAATACTGCATTTGTAATGTTTCAATGTTTTTGAACTATGAAAATGTAAATTACCTCTTCAAATTTTGATTCGCAACCTCAGTGAATCTGTCTTGTAGTATTTCAATGGATGGTAAGAAACATTTCATTTCAAATTTAATGCTTTCTTACTTTCTATTCAATAATCACTCCAATGGTACTTGTTTTTTATTAAATTACATAAACCAATATTTTCACAGCACTAGGTTTGATGTATCAATTTATTAGCCCATAACTTTTCCTTCAAATAATACATTAGTATATTAATACCTTTAAATTATTACAATACTAAATCGGGAAAACATACAATGTAATAAGATAAGATAGTAAGGAATTTGTAAAGATTGTTCAATTCTTATGTTAAAGCACTTTACTTCTAATGTGTGACTGATTTTCCCCCACCCCCAGCTTTTAGGACTTTTTCATTTTGACTTGAATTTCCAATTCAGCTAATGGACTTTTGTAACCACTGTGCCTAACTAGGGATAAGTCTACAGTAGAGATATTTTGAAGTTTACAAATACTATCATAACCCATACATTTACATTTGTAATTTGAAAATGAAGGAAAAAAAGTATGTTAAGATAAAAGAATTATATTGTGAAAAATGAAAAAAACAGTAATTGTTATTATTTGTTGATTTCTTTTGTAACAATGAAGTATTCAGACACATGTAATTTTTAACATGGAATGTGAAACAGTCTCTTTTTTCTTCTCACAATGGCTAATGTGTATAATTGTATCATATTATTTAGGTACAAGTTGTTTCTCCATTGAACCATCAGTATAACATGGACTGAAGAGATTTGCGAACAGTTGCCATCTCTTGCTGTTGCTGTTATGAGAAAGAAAAATATATTGATCAAATGCAACATTTTGTATCAGTTCTCTTAGCTGGTGAATTATAAACAATGTTTACTTTTTCTATTTAAGTTGTTGAAGTTTTCATAAATCACTATTAATACTTACTGTGTCCATCATGATTTTCTTTTGCCACATGGACATTTCTTTGCGAAGTTCACTTTGTGCCCCTGCTAAAAGACTTTCATGAGTCTTTTCCATGTCTTCCATACTCTAAAATTAGAATTCACTTCCATGTCAACCAGATAATAATTCACATCAAGAAATCTCTTGCATTTGTAAAGTCAAAATATAGACTAAACCTTCAGAATGCTTAATATTTTGAGAAGCATAATTTCGTAAAAATGGGAAAAGTTAACCTTAGCAAGATAGCTAGAAAGATAATAGAAAAATCACTGCATGCAACATTTATGTAATATATGAAGTTTGAAAGTGGAACATAGTTGAGATATACATATTACATAAGAAATTTGTCCAGGAATGAAAATGGGATGATGGATAACATTATCAACACCAGCATGTTATACTAGCAATGTTAGACTGATCGCAAAATTACATGATGGAACAAAAATTAGTAGAAATTTGACAGAATAGTTAAAGAAAGTGGTAACAAATCTAAATAATATCTAGTTGTAGTAATGACTTTCATTTTAAAGCATAAAAGTACTGTGGCTTTAACCATATTATATATGTTGTGCAAGTAATATTGCACATCATATATACTTCAAGCACCATTATGAAGTTTTAACTGAAAATTACACATTCAAATGTGAACTTGATAAAACTATGTCCAATTTAATTTTAAAATGACCTTTATAAACTGCTCATACAACTGCTTAATTGTTTTCAGCCTTTGACTTTGAACTATTCTTGCTTGCTGGAAAGCTTTCTGTTGTTGTCGAAATACATTCTGAAGGAGAAAAAAGTATAATGGTTAATAAGTTGGTATAATTCAATTATAGAAATTTTCTTTGTTAACAAAAGACATCAGGAATAGACTTACTCCAAGATGTATGATACTGCATATTTTAAGTTTCAAAACTCTGTGCGTAAACCTGAATTCAACTTGAATCTCGATGTTCAAGTTTATTTTGGGAAAGAGATTATTTACAAAACAATTTGGACAGCTAGTTTTAGACTGTTGTGGCAGAAAGGAAAATTGAACATTTCTGACCTATCTAGTAACTGGCCTTAAATCTCAATTGTTTTTCGTGGTTAAGCAAATCTTATAAAGTACCTGACTTTGCTAAATTTACTTGAATTTCCTGCATGCTGGGGGAACAAATATTTTCACAAAATTAGTAATGCACGCAATTCTGTATCACTGAATATTTCATCTTTGGTTATTGAATGATAATTTCTCCTATACAAGCCATCTTCAACATACAATCACAATAAGGACCAGTATTTCCATTGCGATAAGCAAGGTGGTTGTTAAGTAAGTCACACTAATTTTATGTCAGTTAACTGAATCACTGCAGTTAAGTGAATCACAGTCATTAAGTGAATCAGGTTCCCCTCATTGACTTTGCTAATCAGAAGCCCAGCTGTGAAGGTTGCAAGTGGAAAACACATGACCTGGGATGTTGTGAATGTCATAATACATGCTGGTTGTTAAGTGCCTGAATTTTGATCACATGACCATGGGGAGGCTGTGATGGTTATAAGTGAGGACTGGTTGTAAGTCACTTTCAGTGCAATTGTAACTTCGAATAGTCACTAAACGAATGCTTGTAAGTTGAGAGATACCTGTATCGCAGGAGGAAAAAGAAGTCAGCATGATATAGCAATCTGGTTAGTATAATAGAAGAAAACAAACCACTAGCTTTTCTTCCTGTTCCTCTGCTTTCTGTATATCAGCATCCCATTGTTGAAATACATGTAGGAACTGCTGAGAGTACTCCTGGTTAACCTTTTGCCTGCAATATATTTTTAACATTACAAAGAGTGCAATATGTAATATCTTGTAAAATAAATCCACAGGAATATGAAAGACTTTAACAGACTAAATTGCATGCTTGAGGGTACTCCTGGAAGTTGCAGACTTTAATCCTTTAAGTATCAACATTGTGGCATTTTAAAATATTGTAAAACTAAAAAATGAAAATCAATGTTTTTAAATGTTTATTTTTAAATTCCTGAGTTAATGTAATCCAGATTCATTCACATTATGTGTAATCCAGATACCAAAAAAAAGCAGCTAGGATATTTCTCCAACGGGTAAGTTTGTTTTTCAGTAAGCAAAATAAACAAAATTTAATCATAATTTACAGGTAGTGGTCCTGTGACCTTATTTTCAGCACTTGGGAGTCACATTTATGGGGTTTGCAGCATCCTGCAGTCAAGTAATCACAATTTATGTTTTTGTAGGAAACTGGCCTTTACTGGCAAAAACTAGCCTATAGCAAACAATTAGTTCACTTAAAACTGTATTCATTTAACGATCATATGGTTTTGCTTTATAATGTGTTCACTTAATGACTGCTGCAAACGAGTTTGTAAAATGAAATCCAGTCACATTGTGGCTGACTTTACAATAGTGTCGACATGACCAAAATTGCAAGCTCAATTATAGTCACAAGTCAAGGACTAGCTGTAAAGAATTAAGTAATTATTTTCCTGTGAAATATATATTACTCTTGAACTAACTGACCTTTGCTCCTGTTGCGTTTTCCAAACAAATTCTATTTTCTGGTTGCTTGTTTTAAGGGAAGCCTTTGTATACATTTCTAATCTTTTTCTTTTAGCCAGAAGAGCTTTGTTAATATCCGCTACAGTAAGAGAATAGTTTTTAGCAAGTAGGTTTAACACTTTGTAATAAATCCAAACATTACTATAGCACCTTTTCAGACTATTTTGAGTATTGTAATACTGTAATACTTTCAATAAGCCAGTATACTGATCAATACTGAGTCATTAACATTATCAAATAGATAAATTCTACTACAATACCAAACTGTGCTGTAGACACAATATGTACTAATGTACAATGATCAACAGAAAAAGCAGTAAAACAGGATTTTGTTACAATTCCACTTTATCCTTGGGTGAAACATTTTCAGTAAAGCCATTTCACAAGTTTAACTTAGCTTGAGAACCAAACTGAAACTGCATTAATTACAATTTAAGAATGTGCTTTTATTAACATTGCGCCTGATTAAAGTTTAAATGATTGTGAGTAAATTATATAATAAACTACATATAACAAGCAATATCTTCTGGGGGGAAACTTGATGCACATGAAGACCAACACTTTGCTACAGACCATCATACTATTAGGTGCAGAGAAATAAAAACAAAACATAGATTTTAGATTGAATAAAAATGGTAATTCAATGTTAGCTATCAATTTTGAATATACTATGTATGTTTATCTACTACTGATGTTGCACTTCAAATATTAATATATTTCCACGAGGCGCTGCAAGAGAAGCAACATGAGGTAGCAAGAGGAATATGGAGAGGCACGTAACTTTCTTTCCGTCCCAAGACACCAGCTGGCCCAAGACACCAGCTGGGCCAGCTGCAGCTGATGCCACTGCTCTCGTCGTCTCCATGGCCTGCTTGCTGCTCTTGCAGCGCCTCACGCAGCACACTTAAACTTAGCGTGCTTCACAATGAGGGAGATGGCATCCCCTCCTCCTCCTCCTCCTGGACAATGTGGAGCATCAGCTGCAGCCGGCCCAGCCAGTGTCTCTGGGCGGAGAAAAATCATGCATCTCCCCCAGCAGCTAAAGTGCACACAGGACTAACAAGGGACTAAAAAAGACAAATAGAGGGGCACTTCATTTCTGCTCTGGAATACGGAGCAAGTCTCCATCCGCTGCCACCACCCTTCTCTTCTCAAGGTAGGTGGGGAGTGAGTGGGAGGGGAGGACGAGGAGTGTGGCCAGCCAGTGGTGGGATCATCCGACAGGGAGACGCAGCAGGGGGACAAAAGAACTTTGTTTATTAGGGAACTATGTCAAAAAAATCCCCCAACCCTTGCTTGTTTTTAGAAATGATACAAGAGGGAACACACACACGAGAGAGAGGGGGGGAGGGAGAAAGAAAAAGAGAGGTGAAAAAGATGAGAAACCCAGAGGGGGAAAAGAAAGATGAGAGAGACAGAGATGGGACAGAAATGAGAAAGAGATAGGGAGAAAGATGAGAGAAAGAGATGGGAAAAAGAGGGAGAAAGAAAGATGTGAGAGAAATGAGAAAGATGAGGGAAGGAGAAAGAGATGAGAGAGGAAGAGAAAGAGAAAGAGATGAGAGAGATGAGACATGAGAAAGAAAGATGTGAGAAAGAGATGAAGAGAGAGATGACAGAGACAGACATACAGAGAGATACCTGTTTAAAGGAAAATACAGAGAGCCACAAAACCTGGGTAGGCAGTGTGTTTGTTTGTGTGTGTGTGTGTGTGTCATGAGTGATGTCAAGTTGACCACGCCCACTAAGATTTTTTGGCTTCTGGTGTTTTCTGTGGGAAATGGGTCCAAATGGCTCTAGTATTTAAGGTCCCAGTGACCGACCCAGATACTATATTGCAATATTATCCTGCGACACTTATATTCATCCTCATGCATGTATAATAATAGCTATATGAGTATTTTCCAAAACATACCTCCAAATCGTTCCAGCATATTCTGCACTTCTCCCCTATAAAATAGATTAATTTTAAGAGTAACTTCTGTACATTAAGAAAATTTATATTTTTCATATTGTTCTGTAGCAACAAAATAGATTTAATATAGCATGACAATTACAGTTAATATACACCCATATACTAAATATATAAAACATGACATTTTAGTAAAACATGTTGCCAAAATCAGTACTGTGAATGGCACCTACCAATATTAAAAAATACCATAAAATAGAGAAAAATACAGAGATATTAAATGAAATAATTGAATACGGTACCTGTCAAGAAATAATTAAATAGCAGTATTATCTTCAAACGATGGTTACTGAATTCCTTGGTTCAATTAACATTCAGCTAATTCTGAACCAAGCAATCTTGATATTTGTAGCCTTTATATAATAATAGCCAAATCACTGTTAAGTACAGTATGTGACTGGCTTTCTGTATTTAGTATGTGTGTATTTTATTGCAGCCACCTTGTCTGAACTTGATGAGAATCATAGGATCAAAGGGAGGATATTCAACAATGGTATTTTATTTATAGCTATTGCTAGTATGCTAATCTTTTTTTGCTTTTCATAAAAGTAATTGTAGAAAATTAAAAAACCTGAATCAAATTTTGTAAAGAGAGGAGGCAAAGTTTTATTTAATAAATTCAGTAGTTCGTATTTGGCTTACTATTAGTTTATTTACTTTACTATACAAAAAAACAAAAACAAATGGATCTTTGTCAAATCAAATTTGGATTTCAGGTTCCAATTCTATAATTTTTTTCTTAGAAGCAACTCACACTTTAATTCAGATAGATTTAATTTCTATTTTTACTGTGAAAATAATTGTGTTTTTCAATTACAATATATTTGCAATACAGAGCTATTTTAATATTCTAAATTAAGTTATACAGGTAGTCCTTGTGTTACAAAGGCAATTGGTACTGGAATTTCCATTGTCAAGTGATACAATCGTAAAACATGATGTCACATGACCGCTTAGAAAAAACAATTGCTGCTATCCACATTGGTCTTGTTAGGCAAGACTCATGGATGGTTAAGCAAGAACTTCCTTGCAATTTCCTGCTGGCTTCCAACAACCAAAGTCAGTGGGGAAGCTGGTAGAAAATTGCAAGTTTTGGTAGCTTGCAAGCAGGCTGGGAGATAGATAAGAGCTGCTGCCAGATGGGGAAGGATATGCAAGCGGCCAGGGAGACAAAATGTTAAGTGCAGCAGGAGTCCAGGAGGTTGTGTAGACAGTGGTGTGGGGCAATGGCATGTAAGTGAGGAGACTTACCTGAGCAACTTGTGATTTCCCCTGCTGGCTTCCTGATTTTTGTGTATGAAGCAAACAGAAATGATCACAAATTGCAATCACATAACTGCCAAAGCATGGAAACATAAGTGCAAATAAGTTGTCAAGTACCCAAATTGTGATCATGTGACTGCACAGGTGCTGGAATGGCTGGAACTTAGAGTCAGCCATAGTCACAACTTGTCCAGCATCATTGTAACTTCAAATGGTCAATGAATAAGTGGTTGTTAACCAAGCACTGCCTGTACTTAGGTATAACTTGCTAAAATCTCTCATATATCTAATATGGAGCTCAGCATATCTGGTCTGAGAAAATCAGGAAAATTTGTTGGTTGTAGGTATCTTCTGTATTTTTGTTATGTAATGTGTATCCAGTTTTGCACCCCAAATATGGTAGTCCTATTCTATTCTATTAGCATTTATTAGATTTATAAATTCTGTTCCGTGTGATGGTTGTAAGTCAAATATCCAATTCAATTCTTAGTACAAAGAGAAGCTTTGAATGCTTGAAATTTCTCACATTGGTAATTTTTTAATCCAACCCAGTAATTTAACAAATTCTTAATTATGTTTCTATGTACAATAAAGGCAATCTATTTAAATGTGCACACATAGACGTTTTTTGCAATGCCATCTTACACTCACCTGACAATCTTTCTATGCAACATCATCTCCGAGTTGATATACAAAAAATTACTTGTACAGTGTTGCCAAACTTGTGAAAAAATGTATACATTTGCATTTCTGATTGACTACTATAACTATAGCTGCTCATATACTGTATAATTACATTTAATATAACATCTGTGCATCAAAAAAGTGAGTGAGAGAGCAATTTACCCAACTTCATCCTCAACTCCCTCATGAGGAGTTACTGGTCTTTTCTTCCCATGTTTATCAATCACTGGAGCTTCATCTTTATAGAAAAGCAAAACATAAATTTAATTAACTGCATCACCAGGAAAGATGAAAAAAACAGATCAGTATTTAGTATTCCTTAGTATTCCTCAAGATGTGTGAATCTCTCCAACTACTGAATGCATCTTGTGTCCACTCCAATGCATGAGGCAATTGAAGCTGTGACATGGTAATTACACTCACTAATCCAATCATATATTTGATACTCAAAGCATATCCAGTTTGGAAAGACTGTGTCCAATAGTTTGGGTATATAGTAAGCTTCTATGGAGTAGAGTTTTATGTTTAAATTGCTTTTATTTAACTTTTTGTTTTTAGTGCAACAAACTATGATAGCTACAACTTGGAAAATTACTATATATACACTTCAGAGCTCTTAGTGTTTTGAATTAGGATATGAAAACAGTTCAAATGCCTCTAAATCACTAAAAGTATAACATAATTCTGCTATTTCCACTCCCATAAGCACAACATGAATACAATATTTCTTTAAATAAATGTCTATCCAGTTGTATTGGTTCACAACTACATGATTGTTGATAATTGTTTACTCTACTTTCCATCTCTCAAAACCTATCTGTAGATAAATTTCACATGACAGATAATTGAGTTTCTAAACAATGGATATATGGTGTAATAGTAGGGTTTTTAATGATTAAGCTGACTACTGCACCTTCTCTAATGTCATCGTCAGAACCACTCAGATGTTTTTTTAGGTCATCTTCAAATTTATAGACATGTACAGCTGCACTTTCCTGTGTTCGTTTGGCTATTTTCCCTGTGGATTTTCTTCCTGATGGTGCCATAATTTTCTAAATGCTGTAAAATTTACATAAATACACATCAACATCTTTCAAATGTCACGTTTGTTTAGTTAAATCTGAATTCATAGTACTGTTGTATCTTTTTGTAAAGCTATCGTAATTGGAATTCACTGTTATGTCTCTTACGTACAGAATTTCTTATACAAACACATTTTTCACAGATGAAATTAGTGTGAGGTTATCACAAAATACTGTCTGTTTTGAACTCAACCATTATATATAAAACTACTATTTCATGATGCAAATTCAACTGAATAAACCAACCTCATAAATTAACAACCTAATTTAAGTAAACTGCAAAAACAAATTAAAAAGTACTATTTTATTATTATTCCAACTTTATAGATTTTGTTTGTTTCTGTATCAAATTTAAACTGTTGGCTCATTAAAGTTGTTTGTGAATCAGTTGCAAGTCTCAAAATGTGATATCATGTTTCAATATTTAAATAATGTTAACTGGAAAGTCCAATATGCTAGAAAAGAGAAGTCCCTGTTGCTAGTGAGACTTTAAAAACCTATCACCAGAAACTTCCTTTTATGCTTTTAAGCATCAGCTAAAGAAGGAGGACACACTGTATTGTCAAGATTATTGTTCGGCATTTTCTTTATTACTCTGGGACTGGCTGTTGGCAACTTAGGTGTACTATATAATAACTATATACACATGAAACACCGACTGAAACAGAGACACAGTAATGGGGTTTTTTTAGTATCAAGACTGTCTGTAGGTTTAGGATTTTATTTGTATTAGACTGTAAAATTCTCTATACATTACTGGACTGTGAGTTACCGACGTTAATAATTTGGGATTGGATCATGCAGGCTGAAAGTCTACATATAAATAAAACTCTGGAAGAGGTTTAATAAATGCGATGTAAGCCTTTTTTGAGTATCCCATTTCCTTAATCGGCCCATCTTTCCCTTCGCTCGTCCTGGAAGACTCTCTCCCCTGGAGATGTGCTCCTTGAGAGGAAAAAGGACCGCGCAAAACTCTCTCTCTGCTCGCCCTTCCAAAGCAGCTGCTGCCTCTTTATTTCCCGCCCAAATCACCTCAGAGCCGAACCGGCGGCCCCGCTTTCTGATCGAGCTCATCCCTCTCCCGCCCGCATACCAGGCCAGCAGCAGCCACCGACCGCTCACACACGCACTCCACACCTAGGTTATCCCTCCCGCCCCAGGCCCGTCGCTCTCGGTCCCCGCAAAGAGGAAAGAAGACCCGAGCTGAGGAGAAAACACACCGCCCGCGCCAGGCTCTCGCTCTCCTGGAATCTTCCCCGCCCTTTCTTCAAAGGTCCGGTCTGCGCTTGCGTCAGAGAGAGCGGCGGCGAGAAAAGCCCACGTGGCTCGCGAGGGAGCGTTCCTGACCGCGTGCAGTTCACAGCGGTAAACGAAGTTGGAGCGGCGAAATGATTTCGGTGCTTTATTTCTTCACCACCATTGAGGAGTGAGGAGAAAGGACACCTAAACGCCCTGAGAGAGGGGAGCATATATACATCGATAAAAATGAATAACACAGAGACGTACCCAAGGTTGCGCGATGGACAGTTGTGTGTGTGTGTGTGTATACACACACACGTCACACACACACACGTTTTCGTAGATTTTCACGAGTGTAGGTATGCTGGTTTTGTTGTATTCTGGTCTTTTCCCGTGTAAGATTGAAATTGTGTTATATATATATATATATATGTATATTGTGTTATATACACACACATATATATAACACAAGGTTGCGAGATGGACAGTTGTGTACGTGTGTGTGTATATATATATACATACATACACACACACACGTATATATACACATCTACACACACACACACACACACACACACACAAACATATATATAGGCAGTTGTGTGTGCCCAAAT